GTTGGAAAGGAGAGCTGTATAAAAAAAAAAAAAAAAAAAGGTTGGAATTTATTAGTTTTCTCGAGATCAATCAAGTATTGCGAGAATCGTGAATATTGCAAGCTACTTTTTTTTTCTTTGCTTTCATATGAAATTGTTGATTACGAATTGTTGAATAAATAATAGATACAATGAGAATTAAGATATATCACAGAGAGAGGATATTTCACGAAATATCCTTGTTAACGTTACATAACAGTGTATCGAATGTTTTAAATTTGTAAAAAGTTGTGTAAGAGGAATAATTATTCAACGGATTAATTCCTTATTATATCTTCTATCAAAAAATATGAGAAATATTTCTAATTATTAATCTGATAGGGAACGAATCAATTTATATAATATAATCGCATGCCTAACCCATTCTAACTCGTGTAAACTTTGCAACAAGCGGTATTATAAAATTTGTTATGTAGTCTATCAATTCAGATAATCGGATACTATCAAAAAAATTTCATTCATACGAATCTAATATTGCAATCTACGATTAATAATTAGACCAAGAATGTTTATACGTTATACGAGAAATTTAAACGAACACAAAACGAATAATAATAATAACAATAATAATAAAACAAACTCAAAAATAAAATGATCATTTTCAACAATCGGATGAATGAATCGAATCTCCATTCACTATTCTACCTCTCACAATTATAAATATGAATTTGCTTTATTAACGAAATAACGTTTAAATTTAAAGAGAGAGAGGGAGAGTAAATTTAAACGCATGAATAAAATATTAAAAAATCGAAATACCCGTTACAACATCGTTTCTCCGAATGACGAATCAAATTTCCATATTCTTCGATTAAACCGACGAAAAATAGTAATAATAATTTCCATAAATATTCGCCATCTAATTATACAACGTTGCGCGATATCGCAAAGTTAATAAGGAAATTCCTGGTCGAAATGGGGAAAAGGGATCTTCCTCGCCCTAGCTCGAAAAGATCCTCGTCGAGAGAAACTCCTCGATAAGGCGGCGACACGCGGACAATGACGCGCGCCGCTGGCTGCGATGCGCCCGGCTCGAGTCTGCTCGGGGATTTTTATGTAACACGAGGATGTGAAACCGGAGAAATTTTCACGGCGAAGCGGGTAATCCGTGGGAAAAGCGTGGTCGTTCCACGCGAGTCGTGACGACAAC